TAAAAGATCACAATAGCAACATGGAAACAACAGACTGGACTTCATGGGAAGAGAATCAGTAACAAACTCACCGCCATTTCCGCTGGGAGCTTACAACGGCTGCGACCCTTACACCATGTTCCCTCTTGGAGTGGTTTATACCAAACTCCTTTCGAAGCTCACTTCTGAGTCTTTGGTGAAGACCCCGAACAACTGCGTGAAGTTCAGTGCAGATGACTCCTCGGTGGGAGACGCCTCTCCCGACAGCCACCGAAACCCTCTTTTGTCCAGAGAGTGGCTGATTCACTGCCATGCACTCTAAGTTCCCAACTTGCAACACATTCTGTTCCAGAAATCCACCTAAATTTACATGAGGATCTATTTTCCCACAGAAACAATGTTATAAATGTGGCATGTTCTAAGATGCCTCTATTTCATAACATGGCTGGACTACAGGACACAGACCATGCCCACGTCTTCGAACCTGCTTTCAAAATGAAAATACCAAAACAATGTTGAGAGAAGCTTCAGAAGTTAAAAACAAAAGACCAAAACAAGCACCCTCTCTAACCTACTGTCTGCAATGAAACATATTGATGATGATAATGATGACGATGCTAAGAGCTAACACTTATACATAAGTTTGTTTTTAGGACTCTTCTATTGACTACTTAATTTAACCTTTAAAACACTATCATTAAGTAACGAATGCTCATTACCCCCATTTAGCATGAAGGACATGCACAAGGAGGTCATGTGGTTAATGAATGGCAGGAGCCAGGATTTGCTTCTCGAGTCCATGGGCTGAGACAGGGGTTGGGAAACTGTGGCCCATGAGCCAATCTGGTCTGCTGCCTGTTTTTGTAAATAAAGTTTTATTGGCACACAGCCTCATCCGTTTGTTTACATGTTGTCTGTGCTTGCTTTCGTGCTACAAAGGCAGAGTTGGGGAGCTGCAGCAGAGACCGCCAATTCATAATTACTTACTTTAATCCTTAGGCCTGCAAAGCCTAAAGTATACATTCTGTAACTCTTTACAGAAAATGTACTAAGCAAGGGCTATACCATTCTCCGGTCACCTCTGAGGGAAGGCAGTGGAGGCCCAGAAGTGGGGGGAAGAACGGGCACCCTGATGGGAGGGCCAGGGGAACTGCTGACCAGCGCGGGGGCTTTCACATGCTCGTGTCTCACTCAGCTTCCTGCCTCATTTCCAGGAAGACGTGAAGCAGGGCCCTCAGGGACCCCGCAGACAGGAGGAACTGCTTGCTTCATTTACTTCTGGAACATGACTGAACAAATATGCATTTTATGGTTTTGTTTTTTTTTAATCCTCACCCCAGGACATTTTTGCCTTTATCTTCAGATAAAGCGGGAGAGAGAGAGAGGGCAAGAGACAGAGAGAAACATCGATGTGAAAGGGACACATCGAGTGGCTGCCACCCACACAACCCAACCAGGGCCGGGGACAAACTGCAACCGAGGTACGTGCCCTTAGCGGGAACCGAACCCGGGACTCTCTGGACCGCAGGCCGACGCTCTAACCACTGAGCTAAACTGGTCAGGGCTGCATTTTATGTTTGACTCAAGGACCACCACGGAGCAGGTGAAAGGCCCGCAGACACTCTGTCCGTGACGACTGTGGTCACGGAGCTGCTTTGTCTTTCAGGCAGATGACCTGCTTCCGCGGGCCCTGCGCTGCCCGGCAAGGTCACCCCCAGCCACCCGGGATCTCCCGGCTCCTCCAGCTTCTCCACTGACCACTCTTTCTCCCGGGTTATGATCAGATGAAGACGGGCACAGTGGCAAAGCTACACATGCTCGGGCGTTTTATTACTTTCCTTTCATCAGACTGGATGCCTTTTGATTTCTGGAGAAGGATTTGAAAACCACATTTCGTGAGCTCTGGCTAGAAAACAGAGTTGGGCGTGGAAAGAAGAACCCTAGAAGCCGTATGCTGTACAGTTGCCCTGAGTGAGCCGGTTCCTAAAAGGCCAGCTGTCCCGTCGTGAGCCACTGCTGACTTTTTTTAATATTCTCACTCGAGGATATTTTTCCATTTATCTTCAGATAGAGTGGGAAGGAGGAAGGGAGGGAGAGAGAGAGAGAAACATCAATGTGAGAGACACATCGACTGGCCGCCTCCCACAGGACCCTGACCAGGGCCGGGGACGAACCGCATCCGAGGTACATGACCTTGGCCGGAATCGAACCTGCTACTCTTTGGTCCCTGGGCTGATGCTCTAACCGCTGAGCCAACCCAGCCAGGCCTGCTGACTTTTAAATGAGAAACAATCGTACTCCGCTGAATCAAACTGTTGCCAGAGGCCGAGGAGGTACCTAAGAAAGAGGGGTGGGGGAAGAAAGGAGTGTGATGGAAAGCAGCCCGGATGGCAAGGCTACAGAGGGAAGGAACAAAGACCGTGGGGAGCAAACTATGGCTGGAGACTGAGAGGGCGGGAATGGGGTGGGGTTAAAGAAGTCCCCCAAGTGGCACCCTGATGCCTAATGGCACCCCATGTGGGAAGGCCTGCCGCCCCCCAGAACTGCTCCTGTGCTGACAGGCCCTCCTGCCGGGAACGCTGCTCCCAACCGTCTGGCAGAGGACATACTGCCGCGATCACAGTTATAAGCGATCTGGACATTCCACTTAAAATGAGCACGACAGCCTGGCCGGTGCGGCTCGTGGCCGAGCGCACAGCTCTCCCGGGAGGGAGGACGGGAACCAGCGCCACACGGCCTCTAACCAGCCCCTGGAGAGAAATGCTGCACTTTGGCCTCAAGCCCTCCGGTCTGGTTTTGTTTTTGGAGTTTAGATCTCTGACCTTTATAAAAAGCTGGACTCACTGCCCAGAAAAACAGGAAGCCGTGGAAATGCAGCTCTGAGAGGGGTTAACGCATCTCCGCCAGCAAAGCTGCCCCAGGCATTACCCCGGGGGACGGCATCGGGACGCCCGACACTGTTCCTCTCTCAGATGCGTCCTACACCAGTGACTTCTGACCCTGACTGCCGATGACCTCCACCGTGCCATGCCACTCAGGTCTCTCCCCTGACGGGGGCAGCTGAGTACTGCTGGCACCGCGTCCCCAAACTCTCTGGAAGGATTTGTCGCTCCTGCGGGTGCCGTGACCTTGGGGATGGGGCTCCTGTCCTCGGCTGTGGGCGGAGGGCACAGTAGTCAAAGGAGTGAAGGAAAAGGCAGACAGGGAAGCCGCCCCCACCCCACACTCGCATCTCTGTGTGCCTCTGAACAGTCTAAGGCCTCCCTGGAAAGAACGCGCATCTTTTTTCTCTTTCTCTCCTATGTTCTTTGAAGAGCAGAGACTGCAAGCTGATTCTCACCGGCTGAATCCTACCTGTGTCTAAAGCAACAGATGTGTGTTTGACCTACCCTGAGATCAAGTTTTAATTCGCTGCAAATATTTAAAGAAATCAGCACATGTCGTATAAAACTGTGGCGTTTGGGCCCTGGCCAGTTTGGCTCAGCGGTTAGAGCGTCAGCCTGCAGTCCAGAGAGACCCGGGTTCGGTTCCCCCTAAGGGCATGTACCTTGGTTGCAGTTTGTCCCCGGCCTGGTTGGGTTGTGTGGGTGGCAGCCCCTCGATGTGTACCTTTCACGTCGATGTTTCTCTCTCTCCCTCTGTTTCTCTCTCTCCCTTCTACTCTATCTGAACAAAAAGTGGAAAAATGTCCTCGGGTGGGGATAAAAAAATAAATAAAACTGTGGGGTTTGGGCTTCTCTCGCAAAACTGGCAGCAGCGGACCCTCCTTCGTGCAGGACAGTAACCCACGGGCGTCAGGAAGAAGGGGCTGCCACCTTCAGACTAGCCCTGCACTCGGCAGCTCACCCAGGCCCCACGCTCCCTGTTGTCTGTCATCAGCCCTGGTGAGTTGCCACTTATGTATATTACCTGTGACTCATTTCACCCATTGACGTGCCTGTGGGCATGTAGACTCAGATTCCCCTCACCCCCCTTAAGTATTTGCCCTCAATATTCACTTTAAGCAAACACCAGTGTAACAGAACGCTGTCAACATGTTTACATTCTACCTCCTTTGGAATTCCTTCTCTCTGGATCTGACCCATATGTTTCTTTGGGACAAAATTTTATCTGGGAGAAGGAAACAACAGGAGGAGGAGAAGAGACCGGCATCCCCTTCGTGCCAACATCTCCATCACAGCCCGGGAGCAGGTGCACACCTGTGTGTGTACGTGTGCATTCCTTTAGGGGAGGGGAACTTCAGGGAGTCTGAATACACCCGAGGAAGAGAAAGATGCGAAAAAGAATTGCCAGCTCCACAGACTGAACTGGCTGTTACGTGCATCCCTCCAGAAGCCCAAACACAGGCGGTCCGAGAACCGGAACAAATGAAAAGGTGAGACCCAGAACTTGAGGCAGGTGCTTGGGGAACAGGATGCCCGAGACACGTCGAGAAGTTCGGCGAGTAAAGAGAAGCAGGAGAGGAGAAAAAGAAGCAAAGTGAGGAGGAGAGAGGAAGAACAAAAAGATAAATAAAAAAGGGAAGGAGGAAGACGACAGGTGAACCTGGGACAGAAGGCAAACACGGACACCCGGGGGAAGAAAAGGAAGAGTTGGCCTTTTCCAAAGATGAGCAAAAATTAGGACGCGAGCACAGCAAATCAATCACACCCAAACAAAGCCCCGGTTAGGGCCAAAAGGACCTCGTGCCATTTGGAGGACCACAGCCCTTCCTCCTAACGAGAATCCTGCACTCGGAGCCCGGCCCATCTCCCCATGACGTGCAAGCCAATTTCTCATGCAGGAGTCAACCAGGTCCTTTTCTGGGACATTTTGCTTCCATCCTCTAAATGCTAATAGGCACAGAATGTCAACAGCTTGCAAAGGAAAGTGGCTTAGGCAATATTTATGATTTTACACAAAGAGAAAGATCAACATTTAAGCTGCCTTTTGCCTTACAGCGGCATGACCACAGAGGTCGGGCCCTCCTGAGGGCGCTTTCTCAAGGAAGGGTGTTCCGACCCTCCTGCCGGCGTCCTTACCTCGAATTTCTGCCGGAGTTCTGCGTTTCCTTCTTCATCCCCTTCTGGAATGGGCACGTTGTAGTACTCGCCTTCCTCCTGGTTAAGCAGCTTGTACCTTTCAGAGACAGGACAGAGAAGAGTCAAGGTTCCAGGTTCAGCAACCCTCTCCTTCGGCCTCCGCCCAGCTGTTTCCGAAATGCATCCCACCGGGAGACGACAGCCAGGTAACTGCATGTCCAGTGGTCATGTCAGACTTACACCAGCTGTCCGAATGTCTACATGCTCTCATGTTGAGACTACCCGCCCCTGCTTGACACAGACACCTCGGCCTGGGGCCCTTACCATCCACTGGCTGGCATCTTCATCAGCTCTGAAACGCCGAAGGAAAGGGACCCCATGAAGTCGTTCCTCGTTGTCCGATCCCAGTCCCAGATTTCTATGGACAGTCGTCGGTCTTTGTCTGAAGGTTTTAATTTGCTACAAATGAACACACACATACACACATCATGGTTATCTTGATCATGGCTTACCGGGAGATGCCCCATGCTCATGACTTGAGCTTGAGATTAAAAAGTAAAAAGTAGCAGAGCACGCTCTCTCCGCCCCCTTCCCAGTCCCTGTCCCTGTCTCTCTCTCTTTCCATCTTTCTAAAAAATAAAAAATTAAAAAAAAAAAAGGAAAAAGTATATTCAATTCTCTTCCTGTGATTCCCCACTGCCAATGAAGTACCAACCTCCTGGCAACCAATGCACTAGACTGGAGGTTAGCCAAATATGACCTACAGGCCAAATCTGGCCCACTGCTTGTTTTTGTAAATAAAGTTTTATTGGAACACAGCCATAGCCATTTGTTTACATACTGTCTATGACTGCTTTGACTCTGTATCAGGGGAGTTGTATATCTGTAACAAAGACCGTATGGCCGTGAAGTCTGAAGTATTTACTATCCAACCCTTTGCAGAGCGAAGCTTGCCAGCCTCTGATCTGTATGACTGAGAGCTGCCTTCTTGGTTGTCCACAGATAAACGGCTCCCTGTGTCTACAGAAAGGACCGGCTGTTTCTGCTTTCTCACCCCTGACTTATTCATGTCCTTCCTTCCTCCCATTACTCCTTTTCCTCTCTCCCTTCTACCATCTCTCTCTCTGAAATCCTGTATTTCTTCGAGACCCACTTTAAATGCCACCTCCTCCAAGAAGTCTTCTCTGCTTACAGGTAAAGACGATCTTCCCATTTCAGTGTCTATATTACTCATTTAGTCCACGTTTTAAAAATTATTCAAATTCTTACATCATCCCCTAACCCTCAAAAGACCCCCAAGTTCAGCAAGAGGTGAGACACACCTCATATGTTTTTATATTGTCTGTAATGTAAGAGAACGTTTGTGCAGAGTCGACACTGGCGGTAATTTGGGGCCGGCATCACGTAACTCCTGGTAAGCCAAGTTACTGTCCTCAAACAGGAGTGAGGAACAGCCACCTCCCTGGCAGCCCGTGAAGGTCTCAGGAACGAAGCAATGTTCAGAGACACTGAACAAGCCGCTGCAAGATGTCTAACAACGAGGTGGGCAGTTCTGTGGCGTGTGAGGAGGGCATGTGGTCAAGAAGACAGGATGAAACTTACAACGTGAAGGACTCGTTCCACTGGGGGTTTAGTGTGGAGCGGATGGTCTTGGTTTTTTGTTTGCTTTCGTTCTTGGGATCAGGAATGAGTTTCAGCTTCACGTAAGGGTCTGACAGCCCATTTGGATCCATGGGGATTAGATTTTTTGCATCTTGTACTGTGGAGAGAGGACGGAAGATGAAATGTTACAAAACAGGGGATGGACCCTCATCCAGCAAAGCGTGGGTAGAACAGTGGGTGGACCTTCTCTCAAATCCTACCCCTCCCCACGCAACCCCCAGCCCTGGGAAACGCACGTTCGTGAATCTCTGTTGCTTCAGCTAGAAAAAGGAACGGGCATATTCCTAGTGGCACAGGACTGTGGGAGAATGAACTGAAATTAGGCAGTATGCGCTTTATTCGGTTGGTGGCTTGGAAAATGGAGAAGGAGAAAAGAGATTCCCAAGGGGACTCCCACCACGCCCCAGGCACAGTGTTTCAGACTCATCGCCGCTTCGCACGATTTGGAAATCTTCAGTGAAGTGGGGGGCCCAGGGACTTGGCTGCCGGAGAACCCCCCTGAACCCAGGCACAAGAGTTTCAGTGCAATGCAGAAGGGCTAGTCTCCGAGAGCAGCAACCCCAATATCACAAAAGATTCAAAGTTTGAGCATAAAAATAAAGCTTCCCCACGAAGAATGGAAACAAGCCAAAGGTCTCTTCTCCAACTAAGCATTGGAATGAGAATCAGGTCCTTTTCAAAAGGCGGGAAAAGCCCCACACACTGAACACAGCTGCAGCCCAGCCCAGTGCACGAGGAACCCGGAGCTGTGGAATGACTGGGGGTGTGGCTCTCCCATCTCCGGTCACAGTCCTGACAGCCAGCACTAGGACACACAACCGCTTCAGGCCGATGTCTTCTGAATGGTGACGCATTAAAAGCTCAGTAGCGTTTAAAGATGTGGGCTTCCTACCGACATAGTAGCATTTAAGCCGAACACTGAAAGAAGTTATCAGTTCCAAATGTCACTGAAGTAGACAGTGGATCCAAATTTCAATTTCGTGTTGCACAGAGAACAGCGTGGCGAATCAGGAGGGGAGCCACCAACCCGGGGTCCTATCTGCTCAGAGCGCGGGCTCTGGGGCCAGGCAGCCTTTGGATTCCGGCTCTGCCACTTCCTGGCTGGGTAACTCTGGGCGAGACAGCCTCCCCGTGCCTCAAGTTTCATCTGGAAAACTGAACCTCGCTGCATTAGTTCCCACGTACAAAGTACTCAGAACAGCGACAGGCACACCGTGAGAGCCCAGGAATGATTGTGATCACGGTCGTTAATCCAGGTTCCCGGCAGAGAATGCAACCAGAAGGGATGCTCAGACGCTAGACGGGCAGCGGACGAACTGGCCAGCCAGGGCCGTGAAGAACAACACGGCGTGAAAACTTCCTAGCGTGGGTGCAGCTGCGTGGCGCCAGCACCACCTTCAACTAAGCAGCAGTGCTGGAGGGCGTCCCGAACAGGAGCAGGTGTGGGGAAGCTGGAAGGGGGAAGCTCAGAGAGAGAAAGATGAGCACACAGGGGGAAAAGGGCCAGAGGCAGGAGAAAGAAGGGGAAAAACAGTGGCAATAAGGAGTCAGAGGGGGTGAGGATGCTGCCCCCCCCCCCCGACAGGTGCTGCTGGGACTGGACACTCGGCAGTGGGCTCCACCTGCGCTGCACCCTGGAAACACCTGGGATGTTTTAGTGAATGCTGATTACTGACGCCTGCTCACCCCACCCCACCCCGAGAGTCTGATTTGACTGGTCTGGGTTGAGGCCCTGGCATTGGCATCCAGCAGGCTTCTCAGCTGATATTACGTGGGGTCCTGTGCACCTGGCAGTCGTTCTCAACATGTGGTCCCTGGACGGGCGTTGCCAGCATCATTTGAGAACTCAGACCATTATTCAAGTTTAAAAAAAAAGTCTACTCACTTTTTAACACTCGACACTTAAAAATGTATCACTCAAAACGGATCACTATGGTAAATGGAAAACTGAGACTGTCTGCCATAAATAGAAAGTAACCTTAAAAAAAAATACAATGAAAACCCAACTGTGTTCCTTATTTCCAGCTGATACAGTTGCCTGAGACCCACTGTTAGTCACAAAGGGAGAAATTAAGACGCCTTCGAGCGTTAACAATATTCCAGCCCCAGATAAGTCTTTTTCTAGATCGAAAGAACATTGAAACAGGAATAACTTTCTCACCATGTAACTTAATTCTGTCTGTCAGTTCAGTACCTTCAGAAATCATCTCAAGTACGACCGAAAGTCCTAGCCCATCAGTGGCCTACCCCACACAGGGGAAGTATGGGGGGGGGGGCAGTAAGGGTGTGGGGCGTTTCAGTCTACGAGTACCAGCACTTCCCAGGACAGACCCAGCACAGGTCCCATGGCTCATCTCTCATCTTCTACAAGAACCGAACAGCTTTGACCCAGAGAATTAAGATAGAAAACCCGAGTTCTGCAGGTAGAAGGGCCACTTTCCCATGCTCACTCACTAGCTGTGGCCTTCATCATGCTGCCCAGGGTCCGCAGAGAGGGGTCCAGAGCCCCGGAGGGAAGGCAGGCAGGCTTGAGCCCCAGAGGGAAGGCAGGCAGGCCGGGGGCCCCGGGCCCAGAGGGAAGGCAGGCAGGCCCGAGCCCCAGAGGGAAGGCAGGCAAGCCCGGGGCCCCGGGCCCAGAGGGAAGGCAGGCAGGCCCGAGCCCCAGAGGGAAGGCAGACCCGGGCCCCGGGCAGGCTGGCCTGGGCCCCGAGGGGAGGCACACAGGCCCGGCCCCTTCCCCTGACGTTAGCAGTTCTGCAGCCTCTCGAGGACACCTCTGCTGAGGGAATAACCTGGGCCGTGCACTTCGCTGTTTCAGAATGACAGCCGGTTCTGTGATTCCAGAACTTTAGTAGAGATACAGAACATGAATTATCTTACCACCTTTTGCCTCGAGGGGCCTGTTTTGAAATGACTGGCTGTCAAGCCCAGCACTGAGAAACATCAGCCTGGGTTGAAAGGTTATTTAACTTCCTGATAATGTAAGATACATTCCTGGACAAAATCCATTCAAATACGATGATGAAGACAGACAGACCGCCGAGGGGCCACACAGGTCACTGGCAGAGGTGGCGAGGCCTGCCTGGAACACGTCTGGTAAGTGTCTAGGTCCCGGGCTGTCCCATGAGCTCGGGGGACCTACCTGAAAGGTGCCCTGTGGTGAAGCCCAGGAACGAAGCCAGGGAGTTCTGCCAAGGGCCTGCTCGCTGGGGGAAAAGTGGAGCTGAGGACGCGGGCGGGCAGGAGGAAGCGGCCGCCATGCTTTCTCGGGGCGAAGCAAGCTAGACCCGCCAAGACCGGCAGTCGAGTGACTGTCTAATGTGCACCCGAGGACACCGAGTGACAGGCAGGCTCACTGCCCTGGGACAGAGGCTGCCGATGGTGGCTGACTTCTCAGGGGCAGCATGCGGTGGAGGCTAGAAGCCGGGTTCAAGTCCCTGCTCTACCCTGATGAGCTGTACGCCGTCGGACAAATACCCCCCATCGCAGACGTGTGTCTGTAAACAGGAAGCACAGCGGTGCCCACGGGGCTGTCGTGAAGACTTCCATGAGTTAATACCCGTGAAGCATCCAGAGGAGGACCTGGAGCAGGCGCCGTGTGCTAGAAGCATCTGCTACGATTACCAGCAGCATGTCTGTGCAAGTTTGCTGTCCTGAGCATCACCGTGATCGCCAGCACTGTCTCGTCCTCCTGTCCGGTCCTTTCCCGTGTGGTCCAGGAGGCAGGGCTGTTGCCTCAGGGTACCCCTGTACCTAGCAGATCAAGGACACTTCACGCAGGACTGACTTTCCAGGCCTCAGGGTGAGGCTGGCGTTCAGAGGCAGCTCTCAGTCCTTCCAAAACAGCCTGGGCTCAGAAAGGAGAAGAAATCACTGCAATCCTTGATCCATGCAGAATGGCCCAGATGGTCTCATGATCCAGAGAATATACGCAGCATAAGTAGTGAAGTGTAGCCCTGACCAGTTGGGCTCAGCGGTTAGAGGGTCAGCCCTGGCACCAGAGTCACAGGTTCAATTCTGGTCAAGGGCACGTACCTCGGCTGTGGTTCGTCCCCCACCCTGGTCAGGGTCATGCAGGAGGCAACTAGTCAATGTGTCCCTCTCTCTCATCAATGTTTCCCTCCGTCTCCCTCTTCCTCCCCCTCCCTCCCACTCTATCTGAAAATAAATAGAAAAATATCCTCGGGTGAGGACTAAAAATAATAATAACAACAACAACAATAATGAAGTGTAATACTAAAAATACACCTGTGAGCTTACCACCTAACATAAAAGCTAGATCAGGGCCAGCACCCATGAACCCACCTTGTGTTCACCCCCACTCCACTTCCCTGCCTCCTGCACCTCACTCTGAGATGGCCTTAGGGCACAGGGCACTCTGGCTGGGCACAGGGCACTGGCGGCGCTGAAGGGTTCATCCCTAAACTAAACTTGGTGGAGGACATGGCTGGATCCCCTTTGCCTGCAGATGACACTGTTCCGCACTGACCCACAGTGAACCCTACATGGGCACGCTGTTCGGTGATGCAGAAAAGTCAAGTGCCTCCGAATTCAAGGACAGCGTGGCCCTGCAAATACTCTGTTTTGCTTTAGAAAATAATTCTCTAATTGGTGTGCCTTTTTTCCTGCCTCTAAGCGCATCTTTGTTCATGGTTTCTGCTGAAAGCCAACTCCAAGGACAAAGGGTCAAACGGGGGCTTGCTGCAAAAGTCAGATGTTCAGTGTGTGCTGACCCGGGGACCCCTTCCCACCCTCGCCCTTGCTCAATAGCAAAAGCAGAGTAAACAAGGTCCGGTAATGGCACCCCACCTCATGCGAAAGCAAAAACGATGTTTCCTGATGCTACAGAGAAAAGCACACGACTCCTCTGTTTGAAGGTAGCAACAGGAAAAGGAATGTGAATACCAACGCGCTGGGGGTCCGCCGGCGCAGACCGGAGCAGGACCCGAGTGTGTCCAACGGACCTGGTATCATTTAACACCAGGAAACAAGAGTGATGGAGGCCGCCCAGCTCCATGACCCACGTCCTCGAGCGAAGCCAGAGAATTAATTTTGATAATGTTTAGACAGTCACAACACCGTCTTTCCAAAAACCTT